TTAACTGGTTGGCACTCTAAGCTAGTTAAAACGTAGAGGTGCTTATGCAATTTTAAAATGTACAAAGTGAAAAAGGACTGAACACTGTAAAAGACCAATGATCAGACTAGTACTGAGGAGAAATGTTTCTAAATACACATTGCTAATACAGTATGCCCCTTATTAGTAACGATGAGGTAGAATTGCAAGACACCGCTCTTCGAATTTAAAGCTTCGTGGAACCAGTAGAACCTTTTGCAAGGAGTTTTTTCCCCAAAAAAAAAAAATGTCTTTTACCATGTCCTTCGGCTCCGTTGTTGGTCCGAATCTGGAAATTCACATAATTTAGGAAAATATGTGAGAATAAAGGCTCTGGAAACAGGGCACATAACTGCTGGGTAAAACTGAAAGGGGTCGCATTTGGCCTCGAGAGGCAGTAAGGTAATAGTGCTTTATTTTTTTTTCAGTGGTCGAGTGTTTCCCTTGAGCTCTAAATGCCCTTCGCCACTGAGAGAAGGTGTCTAGCCTGGTTTCTGTGAAATTTGGTAAGATAGGTAGGTTGTGAAGGAAGGGGTCGCCCCGTAGGAGGGAGAAGAATGGGGAGGGGGAGTTAACAGCAATGATAAACAATGTGAGATGTGCCCTGCCAGGGAAATGGGACCCTCCGTACAATTCTGAGCATAGCAAAGGGAAGACCACTGCATTCGACGTACCTTTTCACTATATTTCCTTCTCTGTCCACCAAGAACTTTGTGAAATTCCATTTGATAGCGTCGAACATTGTACCGCCCTGAAAAGCAAGATATTTTGATATCATCTCAGGTAATAATATCTTTATTTTTCAAAGATTTCCAGACTATGTATAAGGAAACATTAGGGAATGCTATGTGGGCAAGCTCCATTAGACTCAGTGGCTCTCCCTTCCTCGCCCTGCCTTTTGGTGGTGAAGATGGTGAAAAGAGAAGGCGCGCCAGTGGCATCGTGTCGAAGTCCGCCCACCCAACAATCGCACAAATGAGATGTCCTCAAATGAGAATGAAGCTATGAATTAGAAAATGCAATTATTGAAGGGTAGAGGCCACCTGGGGCTGAAACATCTCTGGAGCTCTCAGTGTTAATTTGCCATGCCGATGTGGCCAGCAAGCGACGCCAGTAGAAGAGTTAGTCTGCCTGGCTGTTTGGGAGACGGGGGAAATTCGATATCGCTCGCCATTAGTCTGTATAACGCATGGAATCAAACAAAATTTTCGTTGCTCTAGCCAACAAATGAGGAATATCGGCGATTTTCTCCCGCATCGGCAATGTGCCCGCGCGCGAACAACGCGCGAGTTTACGATTGCTTCTCCGTTCTTTCCATGTTAAATACTCGTCAAATCTCCGCGGCGCTACTCAGGTTCAGAACTGCTAATAAAACTGTAAGTACCGAGCCTGCTCCCACCCTATTGCTCCTTCTTCAAAAACTTGAATAGAGGATCCGCATTATCACCATTCACATTAACCTTGGCATAGAGATCTGGCTCGAAATTGAATTTGTTAGCCACAAAATTCTTGATATCAAGTTCGCAAGCGGGTTCCTGAACAATTCTTATCAGTTAGATGAGCGCACCTCAACAACATGATAGCGTACCTGCCCACCAAACTGATTGCACGGGAATGCAGCCACTTCCAATCCCTGAGACTTGTATTTATCCAGAAGTTCTTTGAATTGAGTATAATTCGCATTGGTCAGACCACATTGCGATGCAACGTTCACAACGATGAGTACTTTCCCCCTGAAAAGTGAAAAATGGAACGTTTTGAACGAAACTGCATCCTAATGAGAAGGATGTTTCTAGTTTTTACCCACAAACGACATGGACCTGCTGAGGGATCCCAGTACGTGTTGGCGCATTTAAAGATCTTTCGGCCTTTTAAAGACCCTATCTGACTGTCACTTGCGGCAATAATCAAGAAAAAAATCTGCAACGTTCCCGAGGCGCTAACGTAAAAAGGGGAGGCGTTTATAGGTGTGTTCATTTCGCCGCGGCTCCGTATCCTTTCCCCTAACTAAAGCCTACGCCTATAGAGCAGACGACCAGAGTCTCGCACAAAGGATTGTCTCCATTAGCCTAAGCCTTGCTGTGGAGGCGACAGAGTGGCGCTACAACCTAGCCACTCTTTCCCAAACAACAAATAGGAACTAATCCACGATTCCTGATCTCTCAACCTTTGCCTCTGAAGCTGAGCATGCCGCTCGGAAGACACGGGGGAAAGTTACTAACTCACTTGTATTTATCCAAAGAGACTTCCTTCTCGTCAGCGTCTTTCACCTTGAACTGATAGATATTGGATGCTGCCATTGCCACACTTGAGAGTTGAAGAAAGCGTCGAGAACTTACTGTAAGCATCTTTGGTGGGGGTTAGAAATCACTCTGGCACAAATTAGTACCAAATCAATTCACGCAAAACTGATATTCGTTAAGAACAACGATGGTATAATAATATTACGACATTCAACTACGTCAACATGCCTTCTAACACAGCAATCAACATGTCTTTCCAAGATATTGGCGCTACTATGGCAACGAGTTAGAATTCAGTTATTAAAAATGGTTCAAAAGGAAGGAAAAGTAGGTTTGAGGTTAGACACTAGCGTAACACTGCATTACAGTGGGTGCGTGCACTTAGATACCCGGGTGGGCGTGGCCACAGAGGCAAGGCTTCGAAATGGACCGGTGTTTTCCAAAGTTGTGCTGCAATAGATATTAGACGGGAGCACCGTTTACAAGGTAAACGTTCCTATTGTCTTCAAGGTGTGCTTAATGTTGATTTCATGATCATACGTAAGACCTGATAACCACTTTTTCGCCTCTGCCTAATGTATACCTTTGCAAAAAGCATAAATTCCAATCTAAGTTAATTCTTCCTCTCGGAACTTCTTAGTTCAAGCAGTAGAAACACACAGCTGTTTAATAAGAAGGAAATTATCGTCTCCAAGCTCAGGAAGAAGCGCTGAAGCCTAATTATATCCGTCCACGTCAAGCCCTCGCCCTATTTTGGCCACGCCCACCGGGTATCTAAGTCACGTAGCCATTCAGCACTGCTTCTGGTGAGGTCGATGGGAGAATGCAGCCAGTGAACTTTTCCCTTCCGCGAGGCTCAGCCTCTATCAGATACAGCAACGGGGGGACAGAGAGTCCGCGATTCTCAAGCTCGGCCATGAGTCGGAAGGAGGACTCTGCACAACACCAGAAGGCAGAGGCTTTGCCGCTCCGCCCTACTTACTCAAATACAGTAGCGCACCAAATATGGAGTGAGTAGGAGCAGGCAATCTGTAACAGCCTGCAAACGCAACGTTTGCTGTTTCTTGCCGGGCTATGCATGGCGACAACAGTCAATGTATTATAATCAAAAATAGGCATAAATTATCGCGGTGTACAGAAAATCCCGTGCTCCAGTCGACATGATATTCAAAATAAGAAAATGCCGCACCAATCGCCGCGCGGCGGGGCGGTAGGATGATAGTCTTGACCGTCTCTTCTAAGTGGGTAGGTTATGAAACAAGGTAGATCGATCGCAAACACCGATGTTTAGCTTTTACGCGATCAGATCGACAAACCGCTCGCTTAATCAAAACGGTCAAATCGCGAAGTGTGCACACACACACGCGCATACATACACACATACACACTTAGATCTACAAACAAATTGAAAGATTTCACTCCGTGCGTATAATGAAATGAAAGTCATCACCGAAACAGCATGAACATCCAGGAAAGATGGCCTATCGACGTATTATGCGAAAGAGGCAACACAAAACAATAGAATCCAAGCACTGTTCGGCTTGGGAGGGGCATTTCACCTTTTCGCTGGTTTCTTTTGCTCTTTCATGTTAAATTGCACGTCTGACCTTGGTCCTGTAAACCTGTAAGCTCTTGTCAAGTGCATTCAAAGCTCATGCTATTCCACAGTCTGACAGGAATTTTCAGGTTTACTTAGGAAGCATCAGCAATGATGGACAAGAAATAGCAAGTTGAGCCACCACCAAGCCGTACAGAGCCACACATCACTGCTAAACACGTAATCAGGGTGCCGAGCAGGATTGCTGTCTTTCGCGACCGCGCTATCATCACACTCTAGTCAGCGACCAGAGATCACGGTGCAAGCCGTGCCAAGCATTTCCTCGACTCTACGGCTGCCCTACGTGTCTGTCGAACTCGTTTAATTGTGAACCTACTAATCAATCCGCCTACTTCCACTTCTATAGGGGTACAGTTCTTCACAACTGCAAAGTAGTGGTTTGAGGTTTTCCATCGTGCAGTCGATTTAACCTCCTCAAGGACACCAGGAGCGACAAGAGTAACAGTAAACAAACGTCATCAGTCAGAACAAGCAGCTGAAACTTAGCTCTTAAGCATTTTTTTCAGAAAATTAAGAACAGTCAAGCTATGAGTCCAAATTGGTGGGATCCGTGCACTGGAACGAATTACACCATTTGAGAGCAGGTCCCTCAGCAGGATTAACTTATTCCAGACCGCGCGACAACGTGATGTGTCATACATTTCCTATGTGCGCTGATTCATATGATCTATTGGCCATCAGTTTCATGTTCTTAAGTTATCAGGACATGAGTCTGAATACAAAATATATCTCATGAAAATCAAATCAAAATGACAGAAAAAACGGATGATTACTGCTTGTCGATGTAGAAAGTGACGCAATGGTGGCCGCAACGCGCAATGGCGTC